GATATATTATTAGTTGTTGTTGATTTTAGTGCAAAGCTTTACAAAAGGGCGTCTACACTCTGTTCACAAGAGGAATCGAACCCCAGATTTTAGCGTTGTAAGTCCGGAAACTCACTGTTGATCCCCTCTCCTAGAGGGGACTATTCTTATTAAGAATATTCCACATAAAATAATCCAGAATGATCTAGTAATCGTCTCATACACCATTTTCTGGATCCACTAAAAAAAAAGATCGTCGAGATAGTTTTGTTTAAAACTATAAATTAAACACTTAATACGTCAGTTTGTACAAAAATCACTGACTGTACCTTTTGAAAGTGTCTTATTTGTCTTGTGCTAAATGATTTGTCAGTTCAAGACAGTAGTGTTTGTTTTATAAACGGAATCCACCAATCGATTAAGTCTGCGATAACTTAATTTTGTAACAGATGTCACCGATAATCAACGATGCCATGGAAAAACTTCTGAATAATATCGAAAGAAAGTCCAAAACGGGGAAGTCCTTTGACGTGTCCCAGCTTTACCAAGCTTTAACATTAGACGTGATTGGAAGATGTGCTTTAGGTGTTCAGACAGATGTCCAGAAAGGCGCAGAAGAACACGACCTAGTTAAGAGTTCCAGAATAATTTTCTCTGCTACGTTCCAGTCCTTGATGTTTGTTTTTATGGGTAATTCTAAGTCTTGAATTTCATTTTATATGTATGATTCCTTTTGGGCAAAAAACTTAAATTCAAATATTGACAAAATAAATAATAGTACATTTTGAAACAGCATACATGGACTACACATATCGGAAGGTCCAAGGTTCGCACCCTCATGATATTGAACATGCTCTACATTTTCAGCTGAGGACAATTCCAGAAAAAGAGTCATGTGCCGGTTGGGGCTGTTAATTGACTGACTTCCTCCCGGCCAGTAGTTTAAAATTAAGGATGGGTGTACCCGAACCCACGGGATTTCTGACCTGGCCGTTTAGACCATTTGCACATAAGGTGTCGTTCAGGTTAAATGCCTTTTACTTTGTTTACGTCAGCATTATTTCTTCTTATCGCTCATTAAGATGTAGTACAGAATATGAAGAAGAGTGAGAAGTGAGAATCATTTCAGCAATTTGATTTTATGAAAAAATTAGAAACTTAATTTTTTTATTTATTTAGCCTAAACTTCCTTTTGTCTCAGTAATACAAACAACTGGAACTTATTGGAACCAGCACGGTTGATACAACTATGTCCGTGTCACTTTTACCCGGTTTTAAAATATATATACTACACAAAACACGTGTATACACTTGCACTGTACTGGTCTCGTGGTGGAGCTGAGAACGAGCACCAGTACCCTGGCGGAATTATAGACTTTAGCTAGTAACTAAAATAAATATTTTTGGCTTTGTTAGTAGAAACATGACACAAATACAGTGTTTTATTTTTATCAGTTCAGCGTATTAATATAAAGATTACAGCATGTCATAACGATGTGATTGCTATTGTTTTGTTTGTACTAGTACAGCGTATTAATGTGAACATGACAGTTTGCCATCATGACGTCATTGTTATCCAGTCAAGTGGTACGACGGTGCCACTTTAAACATGCTTCCTACAGCTATATCATTTGTTTTAATTATTAAATTAAATCGTACGTAATGGTTTCTCACAAATTTACAAGATTAATACAGATTATGTCGAATTCAGTATATATATATGTTTAAGTCATGCTGAAACATTTACCTCTGTATGTGAGATAGCGAATTCTATATTTTAGTCATGGTTTTGTTTATCGTTCATTTAATATTCCTTCTATCGTTTAGTTTATCTATGAATGTTTAGTTACATTAAAACGCTAACGCACCTTGTAGCTGATTACGTTTATTTTGAGTAAATATGTATGTATTATGAAACTGACACCAGCTTCCCTAACGGTGACATACAGATATTATTAATGTAGCAAAATATTATGTATATTTATGATCACATGAGATGTACTCTCGTGACCTAAACGGTGAATAAATACCCTGCCATTAGCTTTATAAATTGAGATAGTGATTTTTTTTCTATTTATCACTCAATATTGTTATTAATATAGAAAAGTGATTTTGGAATATATTATTTTTTTTGGAATTAGATTTTTTCTTCTTCTGGTCCTTTTTCCTCATTCCATTATTTGAGATAATTAATATTGATATTTATGTTCTATTGTTTATTAACATCAGTATCAATTCCTGGCCAGGCGCGTGTTTTTTATCTGTGTCTTTGTTAAGTATAAATTTTATTTCCAGTGTTGTTTCAGTTTAATAAATTGTTGTTGTTTTTTTGCTCCCTGGTTGTAGTGGCGTGTTATTTTAGACAGTTACAAAGTCATACCGTCACATCTCACAACTAATAATTTGTACTATTTATTACAGTGACATTTCCGGAAATTGCAAACCTATTGTCCCAAATTCGATTCTTATATTTCAAATTCTTTAATAAGGGGGTTAATCCATTTCTGCATCTGCTGGATACGTGTATCCAGGTTATTAAAGCCAGGAAGGCGGACATTTCGGTAAGCTAATTTCAACATAGAAATTAAACTCTAGAAACCAATAGAATCATAACGATGACTTAGGGAAAGAACAAACTTTCAAACAATACAATTTTCACTTTATCAACAATTTGTAGTAAAATAGTGACTTAAGGACAGAACTCCTTTCAGTGAATACAATGATAACTTTGTCAACTATTTTAACACTAATTACTGAGAGGAGTTCTGTCCTTAAGTCAGTGTATTCACTGAGAGGAGTTCTGTCCTTAAGTCACTATTTTAACACTAATTGTTGACAAAGTTAACACTGTATTCACTGAGAGGAGTTCTGTCCTTAAGTCAGTATTTTAACACTAATTGTTGACAGAGTTAACACTGTATTGATTTTAACACTAAAAGTGACTTAAGTACAGAACTCCTCTCATTGAATACAGTGTTAACCTTGTCAACAATTAGTGTTAAAATACTGACTTAAGGACAGAACTCCTCTCAGTGAATACAATGATAACTCTGTCAACAATTAGTGTTAAAATAGTGACTTAAGGACAGAACTCCTTTCAGTGAATACAATGATAACTCTGTCAACAATTAGTGTTAAAATAGTGACTTAAGGACAGAACTCCTCTCAGTGAATACAGTGTTAACTCTGTCAACAATTAGTGTTAAAATACTGACTTAAGGACAGAACTCCTCTCAGTGAATACA